CGGGGCGGGGCCGCCACCCGTAATCATTAACTCTGTCCGGCCGCAACTGGCGCGAGCGGTCTCTGCCCGCTTCCAGCATTTTCCTGGGTGCACCGGTGCTGTGGATTGGAGCTCAGGGGTTACGTAAGCGGGCTCCACGGCAGGCTGACGCGTTCGAATCCTGCGCTGCCCCTCAGCCAGCTGTGCCACTTGCCCTGGGCGGGAGATTGCCTTTCTAAACACTCCTTATTTAGGTTTTGATCTACAATAAATTGCACACATTTAAAGTGCAAAATTTGATGCGTTTTTACGTATGTTCGCTTCCATGCAACCATCATCACGATCAAGATCATGAACATATCCATCATCCCTAAAAGTGTCCTTCCTCTTCCTTCTTCAGGCAGCCATTGATCTGCTTCCCCTCCCTGTGGTGCCTTCATTTTTCTTGGGTCAGTACCTAGGAGTGAATGGCTAGGCCACATGGTAGATGTATGTTTATAACTTCTTAGGAAACTGCCACAGGGGTGGCACCATCGCACACCCCCACCGTCAGTAGGTGAGAGCTCCCGGCCCCTGGCCCTGCAGATGCACCAGCGCTTGGCATGGTCAGTTGTTTTAATTCTAGCCATTCTCACTGGTGTGTAGTGGTATCTCATTGTAGTTTTTTTAAAATATATATATATATTTCATTGATTTTTTACAGAGAGGGAGGGAGAGGGATAGAGAGTTAGAAACATCGATGAGAGAGAAACATCAATCAGCTGCCTCCTGCACACCTCCTACTGGGGATGTGCCCGCAACCAAGGTGCCAGAATCGAACCTGGGACCTTTCAGTCCGCAGGCTGACGCTCTATCCACTGAGCCAAACCAGTTAGGGCTCATTGTAGTTTTAATTTGAGTTTCCGTAATGATTGATGATATCCAATGTCTTTTCATGTGCTTCTTTTTTAAATTTTTTTTATTGCTTAAAGTGTTACAAAGAGTATTACATATGTGCTTCTTTACCTATTCAAGTTTTCTGACCATTTTAAAAATTTAGTGTTTGTTTTTTTACTGGGTTTTGAGAGTTATTTTGGATACAAGCACTTTAGCAGATATATCATTTGCAAGTATTTTCTCTTCATTCTCACAGTGTCTTTCAAAGAGCAAATGCTCTTAATTTTGATGAAACTCAATATATCAAATGTTTCTTTTATAGACTGATATTTTAGTGTTGCAACTAAGAAATCTTTGCCTGACCCAAGGTCACAAAAGATTTTCTTTTATGTTTTCTCTTATGTTTTATAGTTTTTTTGTTTGTTTGTTTTACATTTAGGCCTGTGATCCATTTTTAGTTAATTTTTCATATGCTCTGAGTTATGGATCCAAATTAACTTTATGCGTATGGATATTGAATTGTTCCCTTCTCCACTGAATTACCTTGTGTGGAGAGCGGCTACAGCGTTTGGACAGGTTCAAGCCTCGGACTAATGGGAGGGCACGATCCTCTCGTGGCAAAGCCACGTGCGAGTCCCAGCTTGGAGGGCAAAGCCCTCCCAGCACAATTATAGCCAAAGGCTATCGTTGTAAGCTTGACCTTATGGTCCGAACCTGTGGTCCCACGTGGCTCAGTGATATGGGCTGCGGGAGGTGCAGCAAGTAAACAAAGCTTGATCAGGTGCATGTAATTGAGTAGATTCGAAACCCACGAGAACGTTGTCAACATCTTGACCACGCCCTTACTTTGCCTCGTGGAATCTGGCTAGAAAATAAAGACTTGGCTTGCAGGCCGTGGTGCTGTCTCTCCATCAGAGAGGGCAGCGCCCACCTAGCCCAGTGGTCGGCAAACTCATTAGTCAGTAGAGCCAAATATCAGTAGTACTTCTTCAAAATAGACTCACCCAGGCCGAAAACCGATTTCTGCGCATGGGCCACGAAGTTTCAATCGCACTGTACGTCCCTCACGTGGTGGTATTTTATGGAAGAGCCACACTCAAGGGGCCAAAGAGCCGCATGTGGCTCGCGAGCCACAGTTTGCCGACCACGGATCTAGCCCCAGCTTTATCCTCCTGTCTGTCTTTTCTAATCCTTCACCGCCCACCCCCCCCACCAGGTTCATCCATGGCCGTGCTGGCTCGGGCACACCTTTGTACACTTGTTTTTTAAAAATCAAGGGGCCGTGTATGTGTGAGTTTATTTGGGGAGTTTCTCTTCTGTCCCATTGATCTATATGTCCATCTGGATGCTAATACCACACTGTCTGGAGACTGTAGCTTTATAAAGCTGGAAGTCAGGTAACATACGTCCTTTAACATGAAAAACATTTTTTTAAATTAACCTTTATCCCTGCGCTCCACTTTTACTCATGTCCTCACAATAGTGACCTTTCTAATGTGGTAATATATATTTTTGTTTGTACATGTTCTTCCCCAAAAAAGCATGTTGTTGTTTCACCTCTATGTATTTTTTTGTCAATTGTACTATTATGCCATATCTCATTCCAGAATAGTTAGTGGACAGAATAGAATAGTGGATAATTCAAAGCAGAATAGTTAGTGAGCAATTCCTATTCATCTGTGTTGCTATATGTATAGTTAATCTGTAGTTTCTAACTGCTACTTAGGATTCTGTGGTGAGAATCCACCATGATTTATCGTTCTACCAGTGATGGACACTCAGATTGCTTCCAGCTCCCTGCCACTATGCCACCACACACACACACACAGAGCCAAACAACAAAGTGATCCTGCAGGGAACATCTCTCTCAACTCGACAGCTCTCAGGCCTGTGGGAAGTTTCTTAGACAACGTGTGTACATGCATATCCTGTAAATCCAGCAATTCCCCCATGGGTATGTATGTACCCATAGCTAGTTCCAGATGCCGTCCAGATGGCTGCACCAGTCCCCATCCCACTGCAGTGTGTGAGGGTTCCTTTTCCCCCGCGTTCCTCACACATACCTACTCACACTTGGCGTTATCTAGCTCTTTAATCTTTGCCAAGTTCATAGGTATAAAACGATAGCTCACTGTTTTACTTTGCATTTTTCTAATTACTAACGATTCCGAGCACCTCTTCATATTGCTTCTTAACATTTGGGACTTAATGTTTATAAATTGCTTTTTAATATCCTTTGCAAAATTTTTAGAATTTATAGTGCTCCTTTTTTAGTTGATTTGCAGGAGTTTATAGCTAGACATTAACTGCTTGTCAGTTTTAGATATTGCAACTATCTCCTTCCATTCAACCATCCATA